TACTTCACAAAGCCAAGATGCGCCAAAATCGTCTTTTTCTGGTCTACCCTAGGACATATTTTCTTGTATAAACTAATCAGCGCCATTTTCAGGCTTGCCTCGGGAGACACTTTCTATGGCATGGCGCTGATTGGAGGGTTGTCTAATGACGCTGATTGGAGGGTTGTGTGATGACGCTGATTGGAGAGTTGTGTGATGACGCTGATTGGAGGGTTGTGTAATGACTCTGATTGTGTAATGACTCTGATTGGAGGGTTGTGTGATGACGCTGATTGGAGAGTTGTGTGATGACGCTGATTGGAGGGTTGTGTAATGACTCTGATTGGAGGTTTGTGTAATGGCGCTGATTGGAGGGTTGTGTGATGACGCTGATTGGAGAGTTGTGTGATGACGCTGATTGGAGAGTTGTGTGATGACGCTGATTGGAGGGTTGTGTAATGGCACTGATTGGAGGTTTGTGTAATGGCGCTGATTGGAGGGTTGTGTGATGACGCTGATTGGAGAGTTGTGTGATGACGCTGATTGGAGAGTTGTGTGATGACGCTGATTGGAGGGTTGTGTAATGGCGCTGATTGGAGGTTTGTGTAATGGCGCTGATTGGAGGGTTGTGTGATGACGCTGATTGTAGGGTTGTGTAATGACGCTGATTGGAGGGTTGTGTAATGGCGCTGATTGGAGGGTTGTGTAATGGCGCTGATTGGAAGGTTGTGTAATGGCGCTGATTGGAGGGTTGTGTTATGGCGCTGATTGGAGGGTTGTGTAGTGGCACTGATTGGAGGGTTGTGTAATGGCGCTGATTGGAGGGTTGTGTAATGGCGCTGATTGGAGGGTTATGTAATGGTTCCTATTGGAAAGCTGTGTTAGCAATTGACATTATAGCATTCAGTGGGCTGGGTTAACAATTGAAATGGTAGCATGTGGTGGGCTGGGTTGACAATTGAAATGTTAGCATAGGGCGCTATGCATTCAAATTCACATCAACTTTCAGACATTTTCAAACCAAAACCCTGAGAGATCATAGCAATGAAATGGAATGAAACAAAATAAACTAAAGAGTTTACGATGTGGCCCAGTGGTAGTGCATCCTAAAGAGTTGACCATGTGGCCCAGTGGTAGTGTATCCTAAAGAGTTGACCATGTGGCCCAGTGGTAGTGTATCTTAAAGAGTTGACCAAGTGGCCCAGTGGTAGTGTATCTCAAAAACCAAAAAGAGGTGGGTTCAAACCCGAGTAAAATTGGCTGGACTGGTTTGGGCTGTACTTGACTGGTCAGCAAAAAAGAAGGCACCAAAGGGGGAAAACGTTGTGTGTGCAAAGGAACCTTAAACTTAATGATATGAATTGTGTGTTATTTAGGAATTTTCTGCCAACTTGAGACCAAGACATAATTCTTTCATTCAAAGACACGACAAAATTCAGAATTTTTTTATTTTTAAAATCCTCTCTTCCACATGATTGTATCATGATCTCTTCCACATGATTGTATCATGATCTCTTCCACATGATTGTATCATGATCTCTTCCACATGATTGTATCATGATCTCTTCCACATGATTGTATCATGATCTCTCTTCCACATGATTGTATCATGATCTCTTCCACATGATTGTATCATGATCTCTTCCACATGATTGTATCATGATCTCTTCCACATGATTGTATCATGATCTCTTCCACATGATTGTATCATGATCCCTTTCATATGATTTTAGCACCCCCCCCCTTTTTTTTTCATTCTGATACTATACTATTCCGATCTTTCAGCTTTTATCAACCATCTTGGTTTTTTTTATTAGTAATTATTATTATATCATATTATGTAAAACGTGTTTTAGACATTAAATTAAAATCTCAAAAACATGTAATAAATATAATCAAGCAGTCGCGTACATTGCCAGATAAAGTCTAATCTGGCCATCCCGTTTAACTTGGTTATTGTTGTACACAAGGCACTTTTGGAAAAGAAAGAGTGGAGTAAAACTTTTTACTGAATTCGATAACGACTCCTACCGCTGTTCACATTTCCCATCTTACATCTCACCTAATCTGCTCCATCTATTGATATGTCTTTTAATTGTTTGATACCATATATGTATTTCTTTTTTTTAAATGTTTAAGCCCTAGTATGTCATACAGTAGCAAATATTACTTTATGAATTCCTTAAACAGAGGTATTTAAAAAAAAACATGTCCACAGATATTGCCGTTGGAAGGGGGTCACAGAGAGCCAGGTTATTCTTTTTCTTAAAATGTAGGGGCGTCATTTTCTTTCCTCCAAATGCTGAGTTGTTGTTTTTTTTACATGGAACATGTGGTCAAATATCTTGGCCCACCCTTAGCTGCTCTAACCCTACCTAAACTAATGCCCTTAGATCTCGTTGTGCCCTCAAATATTGTGGTGCCCTCAGATCTCGTGGTGCCCTAAAATATCGTGGTGCCTTCAGGTATCGTGGCGCCCTAAGATCTCGTGGTGCCCTCAGATCTCCTAGTGCCTTTATATATCGTGGTTACATCATGGTTGTCTGCCTGGTGTAGTCATTTTTTTATTAGTCCATTATGCTTAATAATGGCGTTAGGGTGTGTGTTGCTTCAGGCTCTCACCATTGTGAACGTTACTTTGAGAGATCTGCCTAGACCCCCATACTCTAAACATTCGTCTTTCATTGTCCTTTCTTTTCATTTCACTCTTGAATACACCTTGTTCCACAATGTCCTTCACAAAGCTCGAACGCTAACCATTATTTATTATATTAACACCATAATATCTCAATTAACATCAAGCGCTCTTCTACTTCGTCCAATTTTCTTCTTGTAAGAGAAAACTGCTTAAACCGGAATGTGGAACTCTCCTTTATCCTTGACCTAAAATTCCCACGAGCTTCCCAATCGTCGTATATGTCCATTTCAAAACACCCATGATGGTCAAAGTCACGTGAGGTGGGGGAGAAAAGGGAAGTCTTAAGAGTGATTAGTCTTTTTCGCATCCTACCGTCAAATTGTTCTGAAGAGCTCCGGATTTTTGTCCAATGCCGAAAGACGTAGCAGGTTCTGTTGGTCCCTCGCAGCATGAGCCGCTGATCCGACCACAAACACGTGATGTGTGCCCAGCTTCGCGATTAAGTGTTTGTTGATTCCTTCGTTTGTCACCTTCCGCGGCCTTCCGCCGAGAGACGGAACATTGTTCAAAGAAAGTAGTGCCCCGGAGGAATGAGAAACTTCCCATACGATGGCCTTTGTCAGCGGACGAGAGCACACATTTAATTCAAACATTAATGTCAACAAAATTGGCGGCCATGTTTTTTTTTTTTTTTTTTTTTTTGCCAAGGTTAAGGTTAGGTTGGCAATGATGAGGCCTATATGGTGAGGGGGCGGGGGTATAAAAGCAAATCTTCAGCTTCATCAGGACAAAACTTCTGGTTGTGAGGAATTGAAAGAGTGAGGCAGCTTCAGTTGTTTCGAGTAGCCCATTACCGAAGCAATAACTAACAACAGATTGTTACAAAGGGGACTTACAATAACTTAATTTCACTGGTATATTGTCTCGGACTGAAGTCAACAAAATAATATCTACATTTATTTGTTCCAAGAATTAACTTGTGATTAGAAGTGATGTATACATCTTGAAGGGGAGCTTATCTCAAACAGTGATTTGTGACGGCTGCATTTTCAAGTGTGGTTACCGTTCTTCAATTTTCCTTGCTCACAAGACCACGCCCCATTGTATCTACTCTCGACCACAACGACCGGACATGTGGCACCACACTGTCGTTAGCATTGTTGTGTTCCTTGCATTCTGCACAGGTCTTGGATATGCTTCGAACGGTAAGTAGAGTAAAACTATTGGTCACCTTTACTTCTAATAATCTAATGCCTTTATGATTTTATGTTGATCTTAATTAATTTTTCTCTTCTGAAATATTTTTTTTAACAATTGTTTTAGCAATAGTTTGATCGGTTTTATATGAAATAGAAAATAAATTCCTAATCGCAACAGTTCTTTGCACCTTGAAATACAAATAGATGTAAATTTTCAATCAAATTCTTAGCTTATAGTCTTGATAAAAACTATGCCAAAGATGTCCATCTAGAAATAAATAAGTGGTCTCAAAACAATCTTAAGGCGACCGTGTATATTCTTTCAAAACTCTTGTTGTTTTCCGTATGTCGTATGTAATCCCCCCAAAAAGTATTGTTACCCATATTGCACCCCTATTTCATAAAATATGTGCACATAAATCAAGCATAACTACAAAATGAGTTGGCATCTCCCATTCCCACGATCAAGAACTACAGTTTGAAATCAGATTTTTTTACAAATTGAAATAATGACCTTACTATGAATTCTTCGGGAGCTACCAGGGACACCTTTAAATAAACAGGTCAACTTGGATTTTTATTTGTGTTTTATAATAATCTCTAACCTTATTGAAGTAATCTCTAACCTTATTGTAATAATCTCTAACCTTATTGAACGTGTCGTTTTGCCCAATGACATCAATTTCTAAATTATTGTAAAAAAAAATTATGTTTGGCCTATCGACAATGGATGTTAAGAGAAATTAGAACTTACCGTACACATTTATTAATTAAATCTATCAAGTCTGATACGGCTAAAAGTTAACAAGAATGTCAGATTGTATATATTACAAGCTCCTGCCCTTTGCTAGTGGCAGACACTTAAACTAACTAGTTAAGCTGAGGCTTTTCATTGATATCATACTGACAGGGGCGTAGGAAGAGTAGGTAGTCCACCCCGGGCGGAGCTTCTTTAAATAGAGGTTCGGCATTTTCGCCCACTTTTTTTTTTTTTTTTGTCTTGGAAATGTGTGACATAAAATCTCCCGGCCCGGGTGAAACTAACTCTTGCTAGGTCAAAGCCTTCTGTCATCATTTTATAGGTTCTCCTTCGCAGTGCGTCACCTTAGTGTACCCACAAACTGACCACTCTGTTTAGGTCTCAGTGACGATATTTAAAATATTGAAACATTTTCTTCCCAGCCAAGAACATCTTCTGCTACTACAGCAGCTTCGCTCAGACCAGACACAGCGTCGGAAACTTTCTGCCTGAAAACATCAACCCGTTTCTGTGCACCCACATTATCTACGCCTTTGTTGACATCACCCCCGACGGCCGTGACCTTCAGCCGTTCAACAGAAACGACCACGGTCCCAATGGTAAGTCGATCACAGATTGTATGTTTTCAGTCTTATCATTTTTATTTCATAGTTAAAATTATTGTAGGAAGAAATCGGAATCGTTCTCAACATAAAGCAATGCTATTCACCCGTATTCCTGACAAGTTTTTATTACTATTAATATGTATGGTACAATTTGAACAATCATGCCCTGCCTTTCTGCGTCTGTTGTCTAGCTCAACTGTTCAATTAAATTTTGAAATTAACAAAGTGAAGGTAAGAATGTGACTGATATCATTCGAAGCGATGACCATAATATATTCGTAACAGTACTTTTTTTTATAACTTTTTTTTTTTTAAATTATTTTGTTTTAGTCCGAAGTCACGTTTTCTTTTCGACGATGTGGAGGAAATCAACATCAAATTTACTGTTGAAAAGAGTCTTCTGTGAAGAAGAGCGACTTACTAAGTAGCTTTGCTAGTTCGCTATTTTAAACAGCAATCTTAAAGTTTAAAGTTATATCGTTGTTTAGTTTGAATTAAAGGATGTTAACTTTTAATATATTTAATTGATTATTATGTTTTCATTTTTTAAATAAACATCTTTTATTTCGGAGATAACCCATGTTTAATATTAGTTTATTTGGATAGTTCAATTCATTTTAAAATATATATCATATTATTAGATAATCTAATAAAATAATTAGATACATAAATATTAAATAAGGTTGCTTCTTTGCATAATTTAAGTCTTTTAAATTATATCTACACCTAGCTAAAGATATACTTCATAATCGATCAAAAATTGATTCAACAAATTTTGATACATGTCCTTATCTTTCAATCAAACTAATTTAAACAATTAGAAAACAAAATAAAAGACGGTAAAAAATAATCAAACCACTTGTGAGTAAGTTGTGAGTGATAAGTAAAGTCATGACAGCACCAAGCAAAAGCTGCGCAGTTGGGAAATTCTTAAATTAGGAAAGTTCTTTGCAAATATATATATATATATATATATATATATATATGTGTGTGTGTGTTAATAATAGTTCAGATATTTTTCATGAAAATTTAGATTTGGGAATCCTCTGAATATGGCACCCATCGTGGATGCCCCTTTCCCCACTAAAGATGGCTCACATGATGGATGCCCCTTTTCTTCTGAAGATGGCATCCATGGTGGATGCCTCTTTTATTCTGAAGATGGCACCCATAGTGGATGCCCCTTTTATTCTGAAGATGGCACCCGTGGTGGATGCCCCTTTTCTTCTGACTTCTGAAGATGGCACCCATGGTGGATGCCCCTTTCCCCCTCCCACCACCATCCCTAGCCCGGCCCTGTAGGCCTAGAAGGTTTTTAAATAAGGCATTAGGCACTACGAAATTTACTACCAGAATATTTTTTTTTTAACTTAATGACCTTTATGAGAGAAAGTACGTCCCTGCTATCTTGCTTACTTTGAAAGCTGTATAAAAGTGCCTTAATTAAAATGATGATCGCAAGGGCATTACCAAGGTAGAGTTAGTAGCTAACTAAAATATACACCATTTTATTTATGTTGTTACTGAACAAGACAAAACAGAGACTTGAAAGCAGGACCCTTCCAGAGACTTGAAAGAAGGACACTACCGGAGACTTGAAAGAAGGACCCTTCAAGAGACTTGAAAGAAGGACCCTTCCAGAGACTTGAAAGAAGGACCCTTCCAGAGACTTGAAAGTAGGACTCTACCGGAGACTTGAAAGAAGGACCCTTCCAGAGACTTGAAAGAAGGACCCTTCAAGAGACTTGAAAGGAGGACCCTTCAAGAGACTCGAGAGTAGACCCCTTTCAAAGTCTTGGTTCATTTCATCGAGTGCCTTGACTTAAAAAATCTTGGCGAACTGTCCATACAGCACAGAATACATTACAATATCACAGACGATTTGTTATCCTCCGGTGTAAACTATGTGTGCTAGGGATTGTTTTCTTGAGGCAGTGGTTACAAATTTCAGGACAGCTCCAACCGCAACCCCCCCCCCCTCTTTTTTTTTTACAGAGTATGCACAAAGTATACATACGCCACCTAGTCACCTAATTTTCTTTAGGCAGTGGTTACAAATTTCAGGTCAGATCCAACCGCAACCCCCCCCCCCCTCTTTTTTTTTTACAGAGTATGCACAAAGTATACATACGCCACCTAGTCACCTACCATGGCTGCGTCCTGGTAACCGGTGCGAATAGCCACTTCCAATATTAATTGTATAAATAAATTATTTTCCTACTCTTAGGTTTGTACTCCCGCACTCTTGCACTGAAATTAAAGAATCCTGCACTAAAAGTTCTACTGGCTGTTGGGGGCTGGCAGATTGGCTCAAAACCTTTTATTCCCATGATAAGAGATGAAACTACACGGACCACTTGGATAAACAATGTTGTTAGTTACGTTAGAAGGTGAGAGCTAATTTTGTTTAGATTTAGCTTTTGGGTAAACAAGCAACATTTGAATCAAATAAAAAATTTCATTTAATGCAGTGCATGTTAACCTACTTTGTTATAGAAATTTTTGTTATAAGGGGATTACGTATTAGTTACCAAATGACATGTCTTGTGTAATAATGTTGTCATTGTAATTATTTTTTTTTTTCAATTTAAATTAGTGTTTTCTGAAGAGCTATGTTTTATTGTTTGTGAAAATAGGCAAAAACAAATAATTTCTCTTATTTGGACATTAACATGTATGCAACATGGTCTGAATACACTTAAATATTTATTTATTAAGTGAACAATTTATACCATTGTGTAGACTCATGCTAAATATCTCAAGAAAATATAAAAATTAAATATTAAACAAAAGAATGTCATGGGAAGTATTTTGAAAACATTAAAATTGAGAAATTTTAGATTAATTGTTACCCTTTTAGTCCCTGTTAGGTCGTGGGGGAAATGTTTTAAATAACTTAATAATAATAATTGGGAATAACAATTTTCATGACATAATTTAGGCACGGTTTTGATGGCTTTGACGTGGATTGGGAATTCCCAGCAACTAGAGGCAGCCCTCCACAAGACAAGTACAGATTCACTTTGCTGATGAAGGTAAATGATTAATTCTTGAGTCCAATAAAACATACCTTAAATGATGAAAAAAATTAGATGTTTAATTTTAAAATCCTTAAAAATAATCATTTTATTTTTTAGAGATTGCTCAAACAGATCTTCTAGTTATAAATAGAACATTAAATTAACATCTTTGTAATTTCTGTCAAATATAAATTTTAACATTTTTTTTTAGTTCCTTGTATAAAGCCTTTCTTCTGGAAAATTTATTGAAAAATTTGACCACTTAAATTTAATTTAAAAAATTATCAGCATACTAGAATAAGATAGATGATATGTTAATTGATAAATAAAATTATTTTTTTGTCCATAATTTGCTTTTCAAGTAAGACAATGAATACTCAAGTTTGGAGATCTTTTTTTTAATTCTGTAAACAAAATTTGAAAGATATCATTCGATGATTGAGACAAATTTCTTTTTATTTTAATTATTTAGGGCCTTTATGAAGCATTTGCAGAAGAAGCAAAAGAATCAGGCAAAGACAAATTACTTCTGACACTGGCCACAGCTTCTGGAACGTACTACATTGACCAGAGCTATGAGCCAAGCAAAATTATAAAGTGGGTTATTGTGTTAACATCTTGGCCTGATGATATTATTGATTTTGGCGCTTGGTGGATTTTGTTTTAATAATCTTGTAGTTATCTTTGTCTATACATCTTAAAAACATGTTCGTTTGGCTATTAAATAAATTTCTAAGAAAGGATGACTGCAAGAACAAAGGAATTGTATATTATTTTTTAATTTTAATTATACGTAAAATTAAAGCATTTTTAAAATTTAAAATTCTAAATAAAAATTTTAATTTTGTATGCAATCATTTGAAGATAGATTTCCCGCTAATGTATGTCTCCATTTCTTCAGTTACATTGACTTCATGCTTTTGATGACCTACAATTACCATGGTCAATGGGAGAAGGTCACCGGTCACCACAGTGGACTCCATGCACACAAAGATGACCCTAAGACTGGAGAGAAGGCACAACTTTACCAGGTATTTAAATAACATTTCATTGCTGTATTCATGAGAGTTTAGGGAGTAAAAATCATTTCCATGCATGAAATGTGTTTTTTTTATGATTATATCAAAGCAGAGTAAAAGGACTACAGCAGCCATCTTTAATTAGTATATACTAGGCCCACATATATGAAACATTCACTGTGCTTGGTTGAAAAGTGCTACATCAAATCTGTATTACTTTACTTTTTTGTTAATTATAAAGCATTTTATGTAAATTACTAACACTTCTTGAAGAGTAATATGTGGCGGATGTATCATTAATGAAAGCTCTAAATATTTTATTAACACAATTTTGCCATTATACAAACCAATGTCTTCTTCCTTAATCGCAAGTCCTAATTTCATTCAATAAATCTATTTCCTTGATATTTACTTACTTTTTACCCCTGTTACATGACTTGTTACATGACCTGTTACATCACCTGTTAAATCCCATTACATGACCTTTTACGACACCTGTTACATCATAACTTGTTAAATCCCCTGTTACATGACCTGTTAAATCCCGTGTTACATGACCTGTTATATCACATGTTACATGATCTGTTCATAAAAATGTTAGATAAGAAACACTGAAGAGCCTCCTGTACTTCCTAGTTTACCAGTGAGCTTTTTATTTGTACATTAATTTATTTCTAAGAATTATATTGGAATTTCAGTTTTCAGAAGTTAATTATGGATTCTGAAACTGAAGACTTTTATAAGTTTTTATAAATTTACCTGCTTTGTTAAAATTGTGGAATATTCACTATAGGCAAATGTCCTCTTCTCTAACAGGAATGGTCCATCGACTACTGGCTGGATGTGGGAATTCCAAAAGAAAAACTGATAGTGGGTCTACCGACCTATGGGATGTCATTCACCTTGGCAGGTGAATCAGAAAACGGTGTCCATGCACCGGCAGTTGGTGGTGGGAGAATGGGTGATTACACAAGGGAGACAGGAATTTTGGCTTACTATGAGGTGAGTCAGTTTAATCAGGAGAAAAAAATATGTTTCTATGTTAGGCACAAATAGCCTCAAAGTATATGACTAAAAAGATGCAGTTGTTTTATTATTCCATAGCAATAAAAAGTGGAGAAAGGGTAGCTTCCCCTTTGCAGTTTAATTTGTAAGGGATGACAGGCTTAACCAACCCTATGTTCCTTAGTTACCTCCCCTTGCCCCCACGATATTTGTGCAAGATGCTATATGATAGATATTGCTGTATCAATAAATATTGCACACCAAAACACAGTTTAACGTTAAGGAAATATTAAATGAATATTTCGCAACAGTACTGTATATATTTCTAGTTATTGGATAGAAAATACTATAGGCAGTGCCAACTGTTCCACTAATATTAAATACAGTGCCCACTATTCCGCTCGAAATAGGGACATTTTCATGGATTTCATAATTTTCTAAATAAAAATAGTGTCTTATTAATGCTATAAAGATTTCAATAAAAATTTAATTTAGAGCAATGTCGAGAGGACTGCTGCGTTATAGACCTTGATCTTCGTTTCTTGTCCGATACCCCTCCTGTCCCAAACAGTGCTGCGGAGCCTGCCAATATGTTGGTACCGGTATTCATTACATATTGACCATTCATAAATTGAGATGAGGTTTGAAATTTGCAACTGACTTAAGATTATCATAAATCCTGGCAGATCTGCTTGAACCTTAAAGACAAAGGCTGGGAAGCTGAATGGATTGATGAGCAGGCTGTTCCATATTCTTACGGTGGTGACCAGTGGGCAGGATACGAGGACAAGAAAAGTATTGCCATCAAGGTACGCTGACTGGTTTTTTATCAAAGCCAGTGTGTGTCTGTTTTATTTTTCCTCAACGTCCAATCAGAAAATGACAAGTGCCCCATTAAAATTTGATCACAAGGGCAATTATTTTGACACCATAATTTGTTTAATCACATTTAATTCAAAGGTAATCTGGTATGAAGTGACACCATAATTTGTTTAATTTAAAGGTAATCTGGTATGAATTGACCCAATCTTTTAACAAGACCTTTTTCATTATTGGTATATATTTCTGTACAAACATTAGTAGTCCTTCTCAGTGATAATTTGTAATTGCCTTACTAATTTTACTTCAGTGCATTCAGAAAAAATTTAGTTTTAAAAGGAAATCTTTAAAGTTAAAGCTTGAATACAATTCACAAGACAATGCACAAATTTGATTACCATTTTCTTGTTGTTTTTTTATCGCAAAGAATTTATTAATCCTACCGGTATTTAATTATACATTACCGGCGTAGATTATGCATGTGCATTGATTAAAATAATTTTTACATTCTGATTTTCCATTTCTATTTTTAAAAAAACATATAGAATTTTATCGTAAGATATCAACATTTGATCAAACTCATTGTCTGCCTTGTTTCAATGGTAGCCTATACGTTTTTTTATTAATAATTAATTTGATAAATTCAAACTTGAAAATTTTAGGCCAAAAACATCCTTAAGCGCAACCTGGCAGGAGCGTTTGTGTGGTCCCTTGAAATGGATGACTTTGGTGGCGTTTGTGGACAAGGACAGTATCCGCTCATATCCACCATTGTGGAAATTATCGGAGGTGGTGCACCTGTAAGTTTGTTTTCATGTTTCCATTTTACAAGGTTTAAGCTTGCCAATGACTTGTACGTGTAAGTTATGTTTCTTAATTTGTTATTTAAAAAAATGTGTAAAACATTTAGACATGTGATACACATTCTGATAGATGTGAAATAAATGATAGGAAATTCTTTGAGACATGTTGGAAGGATACTGGTAATAATGGGGGAGAGAATGCAATCAGCACTGTAAAGATATTAAATGGAAAATAAAGGGGAGAGAATGCAATCAGTACTGTAAAGATAGTGAATGGTAAAATAAATAAGGGGGAGAGAATGCAATCAGCACTGTAAAGATATTAAATGGAAAATAAAGGGGATAGAATGCAATCAGCACTGTAAGTGTAAGGATATTGAATGGTAATAAGGGGGAGAGAATGTAATTAGCGGTGTAAAGATATTGAACCCAGTGTAAGCTTAAGGGCATCGGTGGGTTATTTATTAAATCACATATTCTTTGGAGGAATGTTACTATTTTTGCATTTCTCTAGAAGCCTTAACTTTTTCATACCAATAATTAAAGATAATTGTACATTTAAGATGCTTAATAAATTTGGACTAGTCTAGCTCTGACATATTAGACCAACCTCTCATTCCTATGAACCGCATTTTGTTAATAAATTTGGACTAGTCTGACATTTTAGACTAACCTATGTTCCTTCTAAACCTCATTGTCAAAGAACCAGCCAGCGGCCCGTCAAGCAGCTAACCACTACAGGCCACGCAAGGAGCCAGCCTACAAAGAGAGCGCACAAACATCAGAACAGCAAACCTCATCAGAAGAATCAGAACTTATCACAGAAGATCTTGAGTTTCCAATTGAGAAAATAAAAGGAGAATTAATCACCTCCAAGAAGGGAGAAACCACCACAGCCACAACAACAGTCATCTTGTCCACCATCAAGCCATCATCAGATGACGACAGCACAGTGCGCCAGGACCGTTGGTGGGGCCGGCAGATTGGGATTAGGGCCAGACACATCCAGAGAAGAACACTCAAGCCTGAAACAGCTTCAACCAGGCATTACTTTTTCCATCATCACCGCCATTCAGTGAAGCCTGATACAGACGCCACACCTTCAAATACTAGGAGAAACAAACCGGCCAGGACCTCAGTGACATCTTCAAAACATAATCAACGTAAGTATGAACAAAAACATTTACTAGAGAGTTACACACAATTCCCTACCATACATTCTACTTGTCACGTGTACATTTTTGTTTGTTTTTTTATTTTATTACAGTATAAATAGAATTTAAACATGAAAATAGCACAATGTTTAGACAAGACATGTCAACATAAGCCAGCAGTCAGTTGAACATATCAATGTATCTATTTCTAAACACAATACAAATCTAATTGGTGTTTTAGTAATGTTTAAAACTGGAAAGGTTCAACACTTTATGAAAATGCTTTCTTATACTAACTTATACCCATCTGAACTGCCAGCTTTTCAGGATAAAAAAAATAAAATAAGTGTGTTAACAAGTAAGGTGAAGCTAACTTTATTTATGGCCAAACAAAATTTCGAAAATGCTAAAATTTTAACAAAAATCCTACTTCAGACAACCAAATTTATATTTATATGAATTATATACAATATTTCATATAAGGAGTATGAATATATTTTGATTACGTGGTAAAAAAATAAACAAAGCACAAAAATGAGTGCCTATACCCAATTCAAACAGATGTAGAATAATAGTGGGTGGAAGAAGTGGTTTTTGGAGAAACATAAAAAATCAAGAAATAACAGAGCATTTATTCTAATAAATGGATTGGATCAACCTATGGAGGAGTCAGGGTGTCCAACTCATTTAATTTGCTTTCTGTTTGCATCCTTTCTGGTTTTCACTTGGTCTGCAGTATCCCAGCCTTTTGCAAGGATCATTTACATGTGGTTCATCTTTCTGTAACTTTGTTTGGTTAATGATATTGAGACTTAATTTATATAATAAAGTGGCTGCATCAAACATTCCAAATTAAATACTGGTAGTAAGTTAAAATGTTAATGTGCTTTTATCTCAAATTTTATTTAGCTGCAGCACCAGCCTCCAAGATGGCCCACGAGTTTGCATCCAATGAAGTTCATGAGGTCAAGTCATGGCAGACAACCCCTTGGTGGTCAGGGGCATCTAAAAGCCTGAAAGTTGAAGATGACCATGACTACCTCAGCGCAAGAGCTACGGGCAGACCTGGTCTTGGTCTGCAGAAAGAACCGACCCCAGGGCCGCTGCCAGCAGTTGAGCAGACAACAACCGAGCAAACAATAACAGAAGGTGCCCAAGAAGAAGACTCTTTGTCTAAAACTGCAGGTGAATAATTCATTTTAAAGAAGTACATAAAAAAAATTGCCATTGCGTTGATGTGGATCAAACTTGAAATATCCCAAAATATTTAAGCTCTTCTAAAAACTATTTTAACGGTTTTTGCATTTATCAGCAGTCATCGTACACTTACATTTAACTATCTGCCATGGCCCAGAACAAAAGTCTGTGGTGGAAATATTATATTACCGTACACTTAACTTATAAACAGCATCATTTTGAAAAACATGGTACCAAATTTATAGATTAAAAAGAAAAACAAGTAATACTGACATCATTAATAGTATTTAAACAATTGGCAGCAGTTAATTACACTTTGATTTGGAAATATTTTTTAAAATTCTGTTACTGGACAGGTAATTTGTTTTTAAAATTATATAATGCAATTATATTTCTAATTGTATTTATTTAAGTAATTGTAATTAGTATCAATAACTATAACCATATTATGCACTTTCTCAATGAAACAATTGTTTGAAGTAAAAAAGAGGTCTGAAAGTTCTTATGAACTGTTTCATTTTGTTTGCCTTCAGCTGGAGCAAAAGAAGAAAAAGGTGTTGACTGCAGGTCACTGGGAGTTGGTACATTTGCTGATCCAAGATCTTGCGACCACTTCATCATCTGTATGGGTGGAACCTGGATGAACTTCCCTCCCCACGTGATGTCATGCCCGGCAGGGACAAGGTTTGACCGCAATCTTAAGATATGCAATTACGCATCCAGGGTACCCTGTGACCACTGAGTGAACAACATTAGGGCATGCAGCTACATTTATGGATGTATGATTAAACTAATGGTGACTGCACTATGGGTGAAACAGTAGGACAGGGTGAATGGGTACAATGGCTTACCATTATGAATAATTTGAGAGTAATATTCAGTGTAATTATGTAATAAGACATTACTTTTATGAATGATAGTGAATTCAGTTCAAGGTGCAATAAGACTGTACTTGAATGAATGATAGTGAATTCAGTGTAAATGTCCACTAAGACTAAGACTGTACTTTTATGAATGATAGTGAATTCAGTGTAAATGTGCACTAAGGCTGTACTTTTATTAATGATAGTAAATTCAGTGTAAATGTGCAAAAAGGCAGTACTTTTAAGAATGGTAGTGAATTCAGTGTAAGGTGCACTAATACTAATATTGCACTTTTACGAGTGATAGTGAATTCACTGTAAATGTTCACTAGGATTGTACTTTACTTTTATGAATGGTAGTGAATTCAGTGTAATACTGCACTTAGGCTGTACTTCTATGATAGTGAAGACAGTTAAAGTTGTGTTGAGACTGGCAAATTTAACGAAAATTGTGAAAATTAATAACTATTATTAAGCTAAAATATAATGCTTTGTTGTTAAGAGAATTTTTAATATTTATTGAAAAATTGAAATGACATCATTTACTATATGAAACTTGAGTATGCATAGAATATATATAAATATGCTGTAAAATATGTACATATAACTGAATAACACTTAATATGATGTGTGTATATTATGTACATTACCGGTACATTTAATGGCAATATATAATAGTATTTTTACTGTATAGTTTACTGATGTTTGTTGATTGTGATATGATATTTGGAAGTTTAAAAGATCCTCTAGTCTTGTCTGATACTGTAAGTTAAAATATAGATCTACCCTTGTTGTGTCTGATAAGGTACTCCCTTAAACTTCAACTTACAACACCAAAAATTTCTGATAGTTCCTTGGTTTAAAAATTACTTTGGCAAAGAACTGAGCAACGCGTGATTTGTATAGCAGAAATTTTGTTAAAACAGGAATAATTCAAATTTTATATAACCATGATTCCTTAAATTGTAGCTGGCTTACCCTCTGGAGTCTCATTTGTCACTGTCCCTTATTCCATTCAGCTCTAAATGTAAAACCCAAGCTAAGATTTCAAATCTGGTCAAACTCATTAGATTGAAAGATGAGATAAATCAGTTTGAAACAGAGAATGAATTCAATAGTGAATGTAAAACCCAAGTTAAGATTTCAAATCTGGTCAAACTCATTAGATTGAAAGATGAGATAAATCAGTTTGAAACAGAGAATGAATTCAATAGTGAATGTAAAACCCAAGCTAAGATTTCAAATCTGGTCAAACTCATTATATTGAAAGATGAGATAAATCAGTTTGAAACAGAGAATGAATTCAATAGTGAATGTAAAACCCAAGCTAAGATTTCAAATCTGGTCAAACTCATTAGATTGAAAGATGAGATAAATCAGTTTGAAACAGAGAATGAATTCAATAGTGAATGTAAAACCCAAGCTAAGATTTCAAATCTGGTCATACTCATTAGATTGGAAGATGAGATAAATCAGTTTGAAACAGAGAATGAATTCAATAGTGAAGTGAAGTTGGGTATAAAATGGTTTTAATAATTGAATCTAGATTTCAGCTGTCAGTCAGGACCAATGGTTTGGGAATTGTGTAAATTTTGTACAAATATTGTGGGAGAAAATCTACTTCATGTGATCTAACGATAAGATGCATTATTGGATATTTTATTTAATCATGTTTGTGAACGAGGTGCCATAACTCTAGAATTTATTCTGCATTATACCTGTAAATATGTCTGCTGTTGCTGACATTAATAACTAACTACATTTTATTTGGATTGAACTTCCTTGTCAAGTGACAATTCTCCTCTCTCTGATGCTAGCACATGGAATTATTTGAATGGCCTTTTAAATATTTATAATGCCCAAAGATAGACAATCAAGTATTTCAATTGCACTAAGATATACAATTATAGTGAAATCAGACTAATGAAGTTAACTGTACTCAATGGTATATTTTTAGGATCAGTTTATATTAAGGAATACAGTTTTCTTGAATGTTTATTTTAATTTGTTAAAGTCAAAGTCATTCAAACTTGGTGTCTGAAATTTATAAATTTGTCCATGATAAGAAAACTGAAAAGAGGAAACTTTTCTGCATAAGATTTTTTTAAAATCTTTATTAATGGTAATTATATCAGTGCAGCATACCTTCTAGACACTTTTGTCGGTAAATAATAAAATTGTTTATTAGTTCATCTTAAAAAATTATTGCTTGGTGCATCTAGTGTTGATATTGTATAAATATGTAATTTAACATGTACATAAAAGAGCCGCAAATAAAGTATAACTAATCTAACACGAAACTTCTTTTTTTTATTTTTTGTTGTTGTAAGAAAATTTTTAGATGACGTGTTTATTTAAGTCTATCTTATTGTCATCATATTTATATTATTTTTTTTAAAGGATAAGTTTTTTTTGTTACCTACAAATCTGCACCACTTATGAACTACTAACACTTACTAACAGAGCATGAACTACTAACTGGGCATTAACTACTAACAGGGCATGAACTACTAACTGGGCATGTGAATAAGCTAAATTATACTATTTAATTTTACGAGCTTTTTGGTAGGGGTTACTGACCCTCAGCTAACTAACTAGTAAATGCCCAAGTCAATTTGAATAATGATCCCATTTGACTGAGCTTTGTACCAGTACCTTACTTGGGCTAACTTATACCAAAATCATTGTGGCTTTTTCCTATTATTATTATTACAAATTTAAATTACTTTCCTAGTTTCCTAATAGTATCAATATTGACAAATCAATTTCAGTTAACAAGAAGGTCTCCCAACATTTACAAACATAGACCATCAATTCCAGTTAACAAGAAGGTCTCCCAACATTTACAAACATAGACCATCAATTCCAGTTAACAAGAAGGTCTCCCAACATTTACAAACATAGACCATCAATTCCAGTTAACAAGAAGGTCTCCCAACATTTACAAACATAGACCATCAATTCCAGATGACAAGAAGGACTCCCAACATTTACAAACATAGACCATAAATTCCAGATGACAAGAAGGTTCTCCCAACATTTACAAACATAGACCATCAATTCCAGATGACAAGAAAGCCTCCTAACGATTATGAACATTGACCATCAAATCCAACATTTCTGGTTAATTAGTACATCAAATTTAATTTAATTGGTAGAAGACACTAGTAAATGTAAAAGTAATTGAACAACTATTGCAGTGGGTGTCCCATACATCCAAGAGTGATCTTATTGTGGGCTGGTTTATCAAGCCTTCTATTTAAAGTTAAGAATGGTCAAACAATGTGTATGCATATTGTTAATTACTATATACTGATATACTGATATCAATTTTTATAAAATTACTGTCTTTATACTAAAACCTGTGGCTGTTTTAACCATTAGTTTTAAGACCGATGAGTTTGTAAAGGACAACATTTATCATTGTAACTAAAAAAAGTGAACTCTTTATGTTTATAAAGTTGAATATATTTTGTTTCAGTCAAAACAAAACAGTTAAAATACACTGCAGATTTAAGCTCACTATCGAACTACTATCACAATATATCTACATTTGTATTCAAGCCATCAGTTCAATCAAACACTATATTAAATGACATTTTCATCAAATTCAGCCCATTCAAACATCTTTTACATTAATTTACAGAATACAGCTTCCAAACACATGGCCTAATTATGGTCCCTGTTATTTTTTCTTGCCTTTCCCTCCTTTGAAAGTGACCTTTGAACTTTTTGTGACCAGTTCAGGTCCCTCCAATTTCTTTGGGTCCTTTTCATCAACATATTCAAAAAAGTAGTCCAGGATTTCCAACTGAGTCAAATTCCCAGTCTTAAAAACCAATTTGTGACCATCATCTGGATAGAGAAATTAAAAATAATTAATAATCAAGTACAGTAGAAACTAGAAGATCCAGATATTTTAATCCAGAATTTACTAAACAATATTTGATGTCTGAGCAATGCACAATCTACATAATGAATTATCAGAAAAACATATAATTGCAGCAATACAAAAGATACGGAGTTTGCAAATATCATGATCCAAAACTATGATGTTCCAAAACTATGATGATCCAGATTTGTTTATAATACACTCTACAATCTGTCACACTGGATAACTAAGTTTATTTTTTCGATTTTGATTACAAATGATAACCATAACTCCACATAAGTCAACCTTCTCCGTTTATTTCTAGTTTTCACATCATTATTTTGAAAGCCAACAAAAAGTGAACAAGAATAATGATGCCCGGTAACTCAACATCTGGATAAGTACAAATTTTAACTTGATATTTTTTGGGCTATTGATTTCATGCAAAAGTTTTTAAAACAAATCTTACTGAATTCAACATCAATCTGTGGTTCTGTGCGATCCGATTTTATATCAAATGTAAGTACAGTTCCTAGGTTGGTTTCCAAAATATCTGGAAAATGTAATGTTGAAGCTGCTTCCCTGTTTTAAAAAAAAATATTTAAAATTTATTGGATTAGATTGGATTTTTAGTACTGTAATTAACTTCACAAGTACAGTTTAAGATATATTTTTAAATTTAATGGTTATAAATCATCAAAATTTAATTTCTATTTTTAAGCTAATGTTTGGAACATAATAAATAACAGCCACTATCTATAAGAACTTAACTTCACTTCAGTACCATTGAAATTTTTTGTAGCAGATACTAAAAATAATATTGAGCGCGTGTTAGTTGCTTATTTATTTTTTAAATCCTATGGTTCATATAAAGAATTAATATTTTGACAACATATTCATAATTGAATACAAAATAGATGAGTGTTTAAGGTTCTCTTATAATTTATCTATAGTTTAGTTTATATAATAAAAGGAATTGCAAATAAAAGTTTAAAAATTAAAAAGAATTTACTCATTTATATGAAAAATGAAAATAGTGATAAAATTTAAACGTCATGGCACGGATTGCGTAAATTTACCCTTAAGCCATATGAAAACTAAGCTTGAGTTCAACTTTGTTCAAGTAGAACCTCTAGCCAACTATACATGAACTAACTCTAACACTCTGTATCTATGAGATTAGGTGACCCTGTGCAATGATGACAACTAATTTAATGTGAAATAACTACTCACACAGATCAAATATTAAATTTTAAACACACACATACATATTTTTATTGTTATTCGACTTTCAACTTCAACCAATAACATTCTGACATAATAATATCCCTCAGCCTCAGAATATAACAACATTCACACTAAACACAGTGATTCTCATCCTTGACATTTACTTGAAATAGCATTTAATGAAGTAGATCTAATTGTTCAAACTCAAAAAAAAAAAAAAAAAAAAAAAAAAAAAAAAAAAAAAAAAAAAAAAAAAAAAAAAAAAAAAAAAAAAAAAAAAAAAAAAAAAAAAAAAAATTTGGTCATTTTTTTTTTTTTAATTAAAAAAATTAGGGTTGTACTGTTTTAACTTGGATATAATTTCATCCAAGCTAAAGACTAAAGGCAAAGGTGAAAAATAATGCTGCTTGGTGTTGTCCATGGCTTGACATGTAAATAGTTTTAAATATAAGATAAGATTCTTTTATTGATCCAAATAAATGGAAATGTTTTTTGATTGCATTATACATCTTCAGCACATAAATAAAACAATTTGAACACAAGACATTTATAATAAATTATCTAAAACAGCCATTCAGTGAGTTCTCTTAGCCAAATCGGGGACTTATTAGTTTTCAGAGGGAGCACACCGGTAAATTCGTACAGATGGGGGAACAAAGGAATTTTTATATCTTTCAGTCCTCACCTTGATGGAAAGAATTCGTCCCGAATGGCCTGATCCTAAGTATTTGTGATAAAGAGGGTGGGATGTATCATCCAAAATGTGTTTAGTTTTACAAAAACATCTTTCTTCAGATAGTTCTTCAAGTGAAGGATGTCTAGTTTGTGTTATGTTCATAGCTTTCGTGATTAGTCGTTTTATGCTGTGTTTAATATCAGACGTTGAATTCCCACACCAGCAGGTAATACTGAAATTAAGTAGGCTTCCCATAGTTGCACTGAAGAATAATTTAACGACTTGCCTGTTTACCCCGAAATTGTACAGTTTTTTGAGATAGAACAGTCTTTGGTTTAATTTCTTATGCAGCATTTGGCCGTGCTCATGCCATGTTAGCTTATTATTAATGGTGACACCTAAGTACTTGTTTGTATGTCTCCACTTTCTCTACACTTTGATTTTTTATGTTGAGATCTGTAATCTGGTGTTTCCCCCTCCTGAAATCAACAACCCTTTCCTTTGTTTTTGAGACATTCAGCTGGAGAAAATTTTCATTGCACCAATTGATAAAGTTTGTAAATAAATTGCGGTATAGGCCTTCTCCTTCAGATATTAAGCAAACAATGGTGGTATCATCAGCAAATTTTAAGATTGGAACGGTGTCGCTTGAGCTTTGAATATCATTGGTATATATGATATACAGTACAGGAGAGAGAACGCAGCCTTGTAGTGCCCCTGTGCTTATTTCTCTGGTTAGAAATAATTGGTTATTTACTTTGACATATTGTGGTCCATTTGTTAAAAGGTTCAGTATCCAAGCCTGAATATTTAAATTGACACCTAACGAGGAAAGTTTCTTTATCATAAAGTGTGGTTGGATAGTGTTAAATGCTGATGAGAAGTATAAGAAAAGCACTCTAGCATATATTTTAGGACTGTCTAGGTGATAATAAAGTCTCTCCAACAATAGTAAGATTGCATCCTCTGTGCTTCTGGCAGGTTTTTAAGCAAATTGGTGGTGGTCAAGTTTTTTGCTGTACTTCATTCAAAATTATTTTCTCAAAACATTTCATTACTATAGAGGCAAGAGCAACAGATCGTAAGTCGTTGTTGCACGTTACCTTATTTTCTTTGGAATTGGTGTGATTTTTGAAGTTTTCCAAATTGCTGGTATTGTGTGAGTTACATAAGATTTATTAAATATGTAACAAAAAATGTAAGAGAGCTGCTCTGAGCATAGTTTAATGAGCCGACCACTTAATGTGTCTGGTCCCGAGGTCTTGGCTGCATCCACTTGTTTAAATAATGACATCACTCCCTGTTTGGTGAACAATAAAGTACCATCCTGTGTACTACTGCCATCTTTCAATGAATTCATCATCTCATTGTGTACTTTGCCAAAGTCCAGGCTGTCAAAACGACAATAAAAGTCATTTAAGTCGTTAACAAAATTCCTCACGTCCTCAACACATAAGCATTCTCACTTAGGAGTATATCCTGTTATTTGCTTGAGTCCTGCCCAATAAGCCTTTGAGTTGTTACTAGGAATAATTTTTTGATTTTTTTTTTTTAATTGTTTTTTACCATGATATATTTTTTCTTTCAATATTTTTTTAACTTTAATAAATTCCTGATTGTTAATCTTAAACATGTTCTTCTTGTGGTGTATGGCCTCCTTTATTTATCTGCTCATCCACGGTTTGTTTTTGTTGAATACTCAGATGGTTTTTTGGGGAATAATTTCGTCTACACAGAACTTAATGTAGGAATTGACGGTGTTTGTTAGCTCATCAATGTCCCGGCAAGTGTTTATAAACGTGTCCCAGTCTGTACATTCCAAGCAGGCTTGAAGTTTTTCTGTCGCCTCATCTGACCACAGTTCAATAGTTTTTGTCTGAATTTTTTTTGTTTTTAAAACTGGCGTTAGGCGGACCATTGTGTAGTCGGATTCTCCTAGAGGAAATAAAGCACGACAAGTGTAGGCCTTTTTTATATTACCATAGTTGATTAAAGCCCCCATAACGAGACGAACGGAGTCTGCGTTTTTTGTTTCAAAATCATGGATTACATCCAAAAGTGTCTCAGTAGCCTGCTCCTTGTTAGCATTTGGTGAAATGTCAGTGAGGATGATACAGATTTGGTTGAACTCTCTAGGTAGGTAAATGGCCTCAGAGTAGTTCTATTTCGGGTGTACAAACTACATGTTTCACTGTACTGTTGTTGATGCTACAGTAGTTTTTGTTAACCCTTTACAGTCCACGCCTATTCAGCCTTGTCTACTACCAGCGCCCAAGCAAAGGGACATAACTCCATTTTAAATGAAGGTTCTTTATCTAATTAATTTACAGAAAATAAACTAGAAGCAAGAAAATAAAATAAAAAATACCTAAATACAAAGAAATTATTAAAGCAAAAGTTAAACCGAAAAATAGTTTCAGAGACCCTCCCACTCATGAAATAGTGAAGCTACATTAGGCCTAAGTTCTTTCAAAGGTGTATCCAAGGTTTAGATAGCCATTTTTTACAGCGAAAAAATCGCGACTTTTAAAAAAATCATAGAAAATCAGCTCCTAAACACACCGCGGTCAAACTAGTATCAAAATAAATGCCGACAACGAGGCTTTCTTCTGGTAGAACTATAAATAGTAATGCACAATGGATTTCCGCTGTGCTAAGAACGAAAGTAAACAACCTCAAAACGGGCGGGTTTGGCCGCAACGGACTGTAGGCTTAAGGAAAAAATCGGCGCATTTCGGGCGCATCGGACTGTAAAGGGTTAATATATATTGTCAATCCTTCTCCCTTGGATTTGCCGCTGTGGGTTGTTCTATCGGCATGGAAAAGGTTAAATTCATCCAGTGCCACTGCTGAATCTGGTACGGTTTCGTTAAGCCATGTTTCTGTCAGGCATATTAAAGAGCTTTCGCGAAATTGATAGAAATGTTTACAGCAACAATCCAGTTCATCCATCTTGTTACATAATGCCCTAACATTTCCCAAAACAACTGGTGGAAGAGAGCCCCGCCGTCCTCTGTTTCTGCATTTCACACGAATGCCTCCCCTTCTACCCCGCTTTCTTCGTCTCAGTCGTGAATCGGTCGCCATTTTTTTGTTGGCATGGGGGAAATTTACAAAAATGGCGGAAGTGACATTTCTTTACTATGCTGAGTAACTTGATATCTTAAGTCCATTTTAAAGCTGTTTCCCACGAAGAGAAACACAAAAAACTCACAAGAAAATAATCCTTAACACATCCATTAGAACTATATACATTTTTTTGGCTTTATTTAATTTATGTATGTTAATTCATTTTTAAAGGTTTTGATCATGTTTGTTAAATAATTGTATGTTACATTTGATGTTTAGCGTGGTGAGCCCAGCCCTAGGCTGGGGTACCATGCTATATAAAACCACTTATAATAATAATAATAAGGACGCCTTTGAATACTTTGACCTTGATATTCAACACAACATCATTAGCCATTATTAAAGTTAAAGTACAAATAAATAGAATTTATAGAACAATTCCAACTTGCACCATAACATTTTTATCAAGAAAAATGGATTCCTTTTTTGTACTCTGGAATCGGGCAAGTCTGGGGAAACCATTTCAGTTTGGAAAACGTTACCACAGAATAGCTATTAAACACAGAGAGAAAACTGATTTCGTTTTCAGTGGGTGAACTTTTGCCTTTGCACTTCAATGACACTTCAATTTCAAACTTTGCCTTAGTAATGAGTAATGTTACGTTAAAAATTAAGTCAAGTGATTTAAAAGGCCAGACTTAATAATTAAATTTGTAAAATGAATGTTAATATTGCCTTATTGAGCTTGCAGTTTTCATATAAGGATCAAATGTAAATTTAACTTTTTTCACAGGGCGAAGATGCATCCTTTTGACAAGATAAGTAGTTGCTTTTCTTATGGCGAACGCCATTTTCAGTTCTGTGATGTGTAAAACGTCATCACTACATGTGATTTGATTAGTCAAAATACCGTAAGGTATGTTGAGCTTAGAAAATGACGAAGAAAAACAACTAAACGTATTAAATTAAAAGCATTAAAAAATTATTTCACTGAGAGTTGAATAGTTTATGGCAGTTTCTCCCTTTTTCTGAGGTTCTTAATTATTATAGTCTAAGGCCAGGGTCTCCAGTGAATGCAATGCATTGGCCTAGTACTAACAGACATTATGGTATCCCATTTCATTAATCTATAAAGGGGTCGTCCATTAATTACGTGAACAATTTGTAAGCAATTTTTGAACCCCTCCAACCCCTTTGTCAAAAACTGTCAAACTTTCAATGACCACCCCCCCCCCAAAAAAAAAAAGGGGAATTATATTATAAATAAATTTATAAATACATTTTAATTTGTGCTGATCTATTTTATTGACAATAAAATTGTAGGAAAAACATTTCATAACATCTTAATCTTGTTAACAGTGGCGACGCTACACCAGGTCCCGCCGGATCCAGGACCTGGTTAAAAATACTTGGGACCTGGCAAATGACCTGGTAATTTTTTATTAGTTTACTAATATTATATATATGCTCTTTAAGCGTAAACTACATTACATGTAAGAGAATTTATTTGGTACTCGCCAAATTTTTTTAAGACCTGCAAGGCACTCGCCATGTTAAATTTGATGGCGTCGCCACTGCTTGTTAATCAACAATTTAAAAAGTTTTTACACTAAAATGTTATAATGCAGAATCAATTGAAAAGTTGTTAAAGACTAAATATCATTGTTTGTGGTATAAATAATATTATTGTCAGTAAAGTACAGTTTCTAGCTGATATCATCTTTCCAAGGAGTAGCCAGATTAAAAAGTCGACCAATTTTTGGTTTTGATCCCCCCCCCCCCCCCCCAACTGAAAAAAAAATGAAATGACGCCCTTGATGGGCATAGTCTATAGTAGCGGATTGATCATTTTCATCTTGCGGCACTGATATACAAGACAAGTCAACATTATCCTCATCTAACCATTCAGCACTTAAAATAAAAGCATTTTCGGTGTGAGCAATAATTACCATATGCTTTCTCTATCTCCTTGAGGGTCCTTGAGGTCGAATCCTTTTTTGTTGAGGAGTGGGATTTAATTTCTTATGCTCAAGAGGACATTGTCAGTTCTGCTTAACA